GGTGGAAGAGGACGCGCAGCGGCTTGTCCTTGCCCGGATACCGGAGTCCTTTGCCCGTGGAGTGCAGCGAGGTCGTGCGGACGTAGCTTCTCCCCTGGGGCGGGGTGATCTCGACGCGGCGCACGAGGTCGACGCGCACGCGCCGCAGGCCGCGCAGGCTCTCGGCCGGGTCGGGCTGGGACGCCAGCCCTGCTACCGTCGTGCGCGCGCGCTGCATCGGCCGCACTTCGACGCCGAGACGGAGCGCATCCCCCAGACGCGGGCTCACGTCGTCCACTACCAGACGCGTGCGCACGCCCCCGCGCTCCAGGGACGCCTCGTCTGGATGCCGCGACTCGGCCTCCGCCGGCAGGTCGGGCGGGATGCCCTCGATCACTGTCGTGCTCGTTATCACCTGCCCAGAGACGAGGGTCAGTTCGACGTCCAGTGCCCAGCGCACGGCGCCGGCAGACGCGAGGTCGAGCGTCCCCGGCAGAGGCGAGCCGGAAGGTAGCGTCGCGGGCAGGGGGACGGCGAAGCGGTGCGACAGCGGGAAGGGGATGTTCTCTGTCCCGCCCGATTCGGGGGGATACAGCACCTGCGCCTTGGTGTCGAGCAGCTCTACGTCGGGGTACGCCGGCAGAGAGTCCGTCAGGCGCGCCGTCACCGTTCTGCTGTCAGCTATCCTCGAGGACTGAGCTAAGCTCGGACTCCGGGGCACATTCGCCGGGCACAATGCACCTCCACCTCTCCTACTTACAGCTTGGACACGCTGCGGACGCGCGCCTCGCCAATGCCCTTCACGTACACCTCGCCCTGGAGCGTGCGGCCCCAGAAGAAGCTCGAGGCATCGGGCAAGGGCACGACGAGGATCTGCGGCTGCGTTGCGGCGTACGTCGGCGGCGGACCTGGGGGGCCGGCAGGCGAGTTGGGCGCTGGGGCCTGCTCTGCTGGTGCTGGTGCTGGGGCTGGGGCTGTGCTGGCGCTAGCGGCGGGGTCGGCGTCAGGCGGCGGGTCAGCGGCGGGAGGAGGGGGGTCGGCCATGATGCTGGCTTGCAGCGGGGAGAGGTTCGGCCTGCGTTGATGGGAGAGGGAGAGAGAGGGTGTGTGTGTAATGTCAATAATGGCCTTGTGCTGACAGAGCTGGTTACGGGGGGATGAGTGCGGGCCGACTTGGCCACTGGGCTGGAACACGTGGCAAACATGGCCCTCGCATCTCTCTGCACCGCACGCACACGCACACTTGGCATCGCTCGCAACGCTTATCCGTCTCCCCAAATCCTTCCCTCCAAGCACAGCTTTACCCGTCCGCTCCCAGCGCTGGCCACCACCTCAAGGCACGCAACACCCACGTCGCCCTTACCCCCCGTACAGATCACAGTATGCATACAACGAAACCGAGCCAAAATATAGGGCACTCTACTTGATCAGTTTGAGGCGGTCCGTGTTCATCGACACCTTGATGTTCAGGTCGTCCGTCTTGTCCGTAATCTTGCCGATGCGCTTGTTCTGCGTGTCCACCTCAGAGCCCATCGCAGTCGAAATGCTCTTCAGGCGCTTCGAAATGTCCAGCATCTCGTTCAGGTTCTCGTCCAGCTCGTCCTCGAGCTCGTCGTCAGACGCCGTCGCATCAAACTGGTACCGCTGGCGCTGCAGGCGGCGGTCCGCACGCAGCGACGGGTCCTGGAATGAGCGCTCGTTCGCGGCCTCGCCCAGGCGGCGGCGCGAGTCCTGCACGTCGCGCATCGCACGCGCGCGGTCCTCCCGCTCCATGTTGTGACGCTCGAGGATCTTCTGCTCCTTCGCTTTGCCGCTTGCCCTCCTTGTTGAAGACGATCGCCGGACGGAAGATGCTGCGGTTCAGGACCTTGAGCTCCTGTGCCTTGTCCTCGGCGCGCTGGTTGTTGGCCTTGGCCATGTCGAGGTGACGCTCCGAGTTGGCGAGGCGCTCGGACTGGTCGCCGAGACGGGCCATCGTGCCACGGGCCGTCTCCTCGGCTTCACGGGCCATACGCAGAGCGTTTCTATTTTGTCAGCGATCGCATTCCTCACAGGGTAAAACAACCCATTCGCCACTGGCTCCCGCGTCGTGCACGAACCCTGCGCGCACCTCCACCGCTCGTCGGTAGGGCTGAGACAACTCACCGGGTACTTTGCAGCGAGTCCTGCTTGGTCTCGCGCATGCTCTGCTTGATGCCCTCAATCTCCTCGTCCTCGTCAAAGTCCTCCTCGAGCTCGCGGCCCTGGTAGCCGTACTCGCGACGTCGGGGAGCCGGGATCTCGCCGCCACCCTGCGATCCGCCCATTCCGCCAAAGAGCTCGGCACGCGCAGCGTCCTCCTCGGTCGCGTACGACGGGGGGCGACCGCCAACCAGCACCAGGGGTACCTTCACGCGAGGGTCCCTGGCCCTGCGGCTTCATGCCACCAAAGAGCTCGTTGCGCGCAGCGTCGTTGTCGCGGTCAGCCTGCGACGGGACACCCTTGCGAGCGTAGGGGTTGTTCGGGTTCGAGCCCATCTGGCGGTCGGCCTGAACGGCGGCATACGGGTCCTTGTGCTCGCGGGGCTGGTAGCCACCCTGCTGCGGAGGCGGACCATTGTTACGACCTCCACCGTAGCTGTTGGAGGTGTACGGGTCGGGGCGGCCGCCGCCACGCATGGGCTGGGGCGAAGGTCGGCGGTCGGGAATGCCTCCGGAAGGCTCGACGGGAGGGATGGTGAGAGCCTCCTTGCGCTTGAAGAAACCCATGTTGGAGGTGAAGTCGTGGAAGGTCGGGGACAGGGAGTTAGAGGGCGGCGAAGGGTTTAGTTGTGGAGCTAGTGTAGCGAGTGGGGAAGCGGAGTGTCTATGAGATTAAGCTGGAAGAAACAAGAGAGGGGCAGAGAGGTCGCAAGAGCTCTAATTATAAGATAGGGAGAGACGAGGGGAATGAGGAAGAGCAGACAAAGCGTCGTGCTGCGAGGTCGAGGAAAGATGTATCGATCGACGGTCCTCTTGAACCCGCTCAAGAGGCGGTGTGAGGGCAACAGGTGACCCTGACTCTGTCTGGACCCCCACGCGAGCCGCCCGGTCAGCCGCCCACGTGTTCGCGTCAGCCTCACTTTTGTTGCTCGCTTCACCCTACGTACACCACAGCCATCAGAGGTCGGGATCGATTGTTTTCAACCCCATCCACCCACACCACAGCGCAAAATGGACGAGTTCGGCGGACTCCCATACACCGACGAGGCGGCCGCTGCTGCTCAGGAGGCTCAGGCTGCTCAGGCCGCCGAGGCTTCCAACTCGATGGACGTCGACCACCCGATGCTCGACCGGGCGCTTGACGACTACAACCCCCGCCAGCGCCGGCGGTCTCCGAGAGAACCGTCCGAGCCTATGCCGGAGCACGTCCAGAGCCTTCTCGGACGCATGGGAAAGGGAAAGGTTTACCTTATGGACGAGTCGCCGGGCATTATCCATCACGATGGCGAGCTGCGTCTCAGCCGCGATCCGGTGCTGAGGAAGCTTGCGCGCGAGCTCGACAAGCAGGACCCGACGCAATGGCTGAGTGAGTAGATTGGTGTAGGAGAGGAGGCTATTGAGAGCTTGTTGTGCCTGTTTGTCTAAGCTAACATCAGCGATGGTCTCTGAGTCCGCCTCCAGCCCGATCCGACCGAACGCGCTCTTCGTTTCGTCGACGCTGATCGAGCACATGTCGACGGCCAAGATCTTCACCTGGGCCTCCGAGCTTGGCGCGAAGCCGATGGGAATCGAGTGGCTGAACGACACGACTCTGATCCTTCTCTTCCAGACGCCAGCTGCTGCCCTGCTTGGCCTCTCGCTGCTGTCCAAGGCCGGTTTCGACCCGACAGAGGGCGACGACCCGCTGCTCGAGCGCTCCGCCCACGGTTTCCCCATCAGTCTCCTCCCGCGCGCCGAGGCGCGGAGAGAGGATCGCGAGCGCGACCGCGGTTCGCGCGAGGACAGGGAGGCGGAGCGACGACGCGAACTTGACCGACAGCTCGACGAAGAGATGAAGGCGTACCGGAGAGAGACGGGGCAGGCCGAGCCTGCGGCCGAGGAGCCGAAGATGGCGGCAGACAAGCTCGAGGCTGAGGAGGAGCCGGTACGCCGCCGAGGCCGCGGCGCCTTCACGGCCGACACTGGCGCGTTCGACGATGCGCCGGCGCACCCGCAATTCGCAGAGGGCGTCGACCCCTATGCGCGCGTGACGGTGCGGTATGCGCTGGAGGGCGACAATGCGAAGCGCAAGGGCGCACGCGACTCGGCGTGGTACGCCAAGCACGGCCGCGGAGCCGGCAAGGAGGTCGCGCCCCGCAGGGGATATCGGGACGAGCCGCGAAGCCTTGCCGATCGCGTCGGGACGAGGGGAGAGGGACGCGATCTCTCGCGCCGCATCAGACCGTATGACCGCGATCGCGAGCGCGCAGACCGTGGAGACAGGGGAGACAGGCGGAGTCGCGTTGCCGACCTCGATGCCGACCTGGACCGTATGCGCGTCGGACGGAGCCGCCGCCCGCAGCGGAATAAGGATGACCTGGACCGAGGTGAGTCCATGCTTCCGGCGAGTCATCTGTGCTTAGCTGACTTCAGAACTTGACGAGATGTTTGCGTCCAGGAAGGACGAGTGAGGTCGCAGTCGGATGAAGGAAGTGTAGCTTCAGCCACGGATGGGGGGAACCGGTCGAGTGGTCGGCGCGGTGGGACGAGCGAGACGTCGCAGTAGCATGTAGTTTTCATGAACAAGGGATAAGTAGCATTACACTTAGATGTACAAGCGGGGTATATCGTGACAGGGGTATAGTCTATCAGAGTTCGTGAGCCCATGACGGGGAGCGTCGTTTATGTGTGTGGGGGGTATCATGTGTGCGTGTGCGTCGTGATGAGTGGTGCAGGTGATGTAGTTCTTATGCAGCGGTGAACTTGATGCTCTCCCACTCTTTCGGGCTCGTAACCGGGCCTACAGTGCTAATCGTGGGTCCATTGACGCTGAGACCTGCAAAGCCGGCCGTGAGCCCAGCGCCGAAAGCGAAGCTCGGCGTCGTCGGCGTCGAAGGTGGCGCGAGGGCCATCCCGGGCACGCCGGGGCCGACCTCGACGTCGTCTCCGGGCACGACATTGATGGGGTGCTGGATAGGCACCTCGTGCCCATCTTTCAGAACCACATTGGTAGGTTTCAGACCCTCATGTTTCCGCAAGCAGCGGTTGGCATACTGCGTCGCGGCCTGGTCGCGGAGGATCTTGAGCCCGAGCGCGGGGTTGGCGCGCACTTCGTCCGGCGTAATCTCGTGGTCCCAGATATAACTGGCGCGCTGGCGGTCGTAGATGAACAGTGCGCGGCGGCCGGTCGAGAGCTCGCTCAGGCGACGCGTGTACGCGGGCCAGTACACGTTCTCCTCGAACGCGCGGAGACGGAGGAACTCTCGCTCGTCGATGGCGACCACATCCGCATCGGTGTGCAGCGGCATCTTCAAGCTGATGGCCGTCTGGACGATCCACACCATGCCCCCCGACTCGATGCCGCTGTCTCGCGAGCTGCTGCTGTCGCGGCGCATGCGGAAGTGAGGCGCCTCGAGGGAGGAACTTCGTCCATGTCCCTGTCCGGCGGGGTGGGGAGAAGAGGACGTGTAGATGATCGTGCTCTGGCGCTTTTGCGGCGTTGGCGTTGGTGTCGACGCCGCACTGTCAAAGTGCGAGCTGATCCGACGCTGCCGACTGTTCCGGCCGAGGGAGTACTTGGGCGGCGAGCTTGGCGTGTGTCCCCCGGGAGCGGGCCAGGAGGAGCTCGTCGGCGTCGAGGGGGACGGCATGCTGAACGAGGACGAGCTCGAGACGCTGCTGCCCAGTAGGAGCGACATGGGTGGCCCGCCTGATGGAGAGGTCGAGGCCATGGACGGACCGGGAGGAGACTGCTGCCCTCCTCGGAGACCGCGCATCACCGTTCCCGCGAACCAGGCCGGGTACGGGTCGAGTCGGTACGCGACGTACTTGAACGTTCCCGCTTCGATGTTGTCCTCGCCCAGGTCCTGCTGTCAGCTTAAGGTTGCGGCCCAGCTAGCTCACCAGTCCGCTCGCGTGTGGTGACGGGGTGCCGGAGACTCGGAGTGCCATTGTTGTTCTTAGACTGTCGGGCTATTGTGCTGGAGGTGCAGAGGTAGGTGGTCGAATGGACAGAGAGGTTACGGTCGTAGATAAGGGCCGGCAGTTGCTCGTGTTGATGTTGTTGTGAGATGTGAGGGCCGGAGCGCGAGTGACCGGCGGGATGTTCAAACGTTGAGTGAGACGGTGTCTCTGGGTAGATGAGGTGATTGCAAGAGAGGAAAGGGGGGTCGGGAGACGCAACGTCAAACTGTAATATAAGCATGTACAGCTGATGGCACCGATGGCGATGTAACCCGGTCGTGCCGTTCCTCTCGATAATGCGAGGTCATGACGGCAGCAGCGGTCGTCTCCGGACTCTGGCGCGCAGCTCGCGCTTGAGGGTCTGGTGTAAGGGGCTCGCGAGTGTTCGACATGGCTCATCAATTGCAACGCCACCTTTCCCCTTGCCATCCCTGCCTGCCTCGCATGTCTCGCCCGCTTCGATCTAGCTGTCGGCGGTTCATTCGAAGCTCTGGAGCTCTGGACCTAGAGGGAAGCCAGTGGACCTGAACAATCTGGGACACACGGTCGTCCGTGCGCAGCCTGCTGCCGGCTCGCCCCGTCGCGACAGTGGTGGAGAATACGAAACCCCGTCAGAGCCGACGCTCTCCTCAGGATCTCCCAAGCCCAAGGATACCGTCTCTGTCCGAGGACCAATGGCGCTGGCCCAGTTGCCAGCCCACTCGGACTCATACCGTGTGTCGCCTGGGCATGCATTCGAGCGTTGCGCGAGTCTTGGGGAGATGGAACGTACCAGGCTAAGCACTGGGCAAGCCGCAGACGTCGCGGGCGCTGCAGGCGTTCTGGGCGTATGAGGGGCAACGCATGATTGGGCATGGCGGGAGGGGGCAGGCTGTTCGTCGCTGATCGCTGCGTGTAGGACGCAGATGTGCGATGGCGCCATATGTTGTGGGGTCACCTGGTGCTGCAACCTGCCATCTCCTCAGCGACAGATTGAGATCGATTGGACTGAAGGAAGAGACTAGCTTAGTGTCGCGCTGGTATCACCTGACCGCCGAGACATTCCAGCGAATGTCTTTCACGGTGACTGACCGGGAGAGGCATGACGGCAGCAGTACGGTAGGGGCCGGCTCAGAAGGAGCAGAAGCTGCCGAAGACGGCGAGAGAGGTTGTCATGAGAATTCAGTCTAGCCCATTAAACGCAGTGGGCCTGTCCCGTCTCTTGACGACGGACTACTGATAAGATACGAGCGACCTTCGACGTGACATGGTGTGACTGAGCCGTCTTCTGCGTTCAACATCTTCCGACTCCATTATTCATTTTGATGCATTCATGCACTACTCATTCAATGTCTGACCCACATATGCACATGCGCACACAGCACACAACGCCACTGCCTCGTCGGCGAGCCCTCGCCCCCCAAAGGTCCCAGCTGGCAGCTCCGCCCGTCCTGCTCCTTACTCTTCCGATCCGGACCCTGTCTCGCCGGCCCCTGCAAGTGCTCACGCCACGGTTTCCGATGTGATCTGCGTCTTCGCGCCAAGCTTTGATCCTCTACCAGCATTCTTCTACAGGTCTGGACAACTCATGGGCCCTGCGTCCAGGACACTGGCATCATCCATGCAGGCGAAGCCCAGCATGAAACGGACAATGACAGCAGCGACAAGAACGGACGAAGGCTGGTGCGGTGGTGGAGGGATCGGACTAAAAATGTTCTGACGCCAGATGTGCGTGCTTTCCCGAGACTGGACACATCGGCGATTTAAGGTTCAGCCCTAACCCAGAGTTCTGGATCCCTTGTTCCTCCGCAACGTCGTCGGAACCCCGACATCCTCGATTCGAGCGGCCAGCGAGGACAATGGGAGATCTGGCGACTCGATCGTAAGTCCTAAGCAGTCAGGATGCCTCTGAGATTGCGTTTCAGCAGTCGCGGAAGTTTCGCCAGGAGAATGGCTTTGCTCCGGCGCCGGCTCTTGAATGCCGAGATAACTCGCCTGTCTGTTTGGCGGACGGATCCTCCTCCGTTCGTCGGATCGGGCAGTGGCCATCTCGTCCCCGTTAATCCGATCGCGGTGGTGCTCGGGGCTTGATGTGAACACGTGTGCAGCAGCGCACACCGACATAGGCGAACAACGCTCGGTTCGGCAGCCAGCAGGACGGCGCCGCTCGCGCCGCCGCCGGCGCCTCGCTGATTAGCCGCAATCTCCTCCATAATGAGCAAGCTCCGGACACGCCTCGCCAGCCTCAGGCGCCTCAGACACTCGGACTTTGCGGCCTGGCCTCAGCCTGGCCTCTGTGGGTTCGTTTGTCCCCATCCGCAAGCTGCCGAAGCGTTCGAACGGATCGAGTGGAACACGTGGTGCACCGCGGAGTACGCCGCAGACTCCACTCTCAATGACGTCATGTTATCAGAAAGATCTTTTGCGGCACGATCGATCGCATCTCAGTTCCTTTCATGTCGATGTCGACTGCCCCAGCGCAGCAGCGATCTCGTCATTGTGCATGGGTTGCACGCGATGTTTCAGACGTTGTTACGTACCACATGCTGCGCTGCGCGGTAGTGTCTCGATGCTGGATCGCCACGTGCCATTGCTGATCTCAGGAAGAGGCACCCAGGCGCCGGTCTGACGTGCCGCTTCAGACACCTATCTCCTCCGCTCAGACTCTGCTTCGCATTCCGAACCGCTGACTGCCTGGTATCCAGCAGCAAGTCTATAGCATGGCGCGGACTGCGTACAGTGGAGCCAAGGCAGGTTGTCAGCGGCCCCACCCGCCAAGAGGCAACGCCCCGAGGACCACCTCTGACTCGCAGGACGTGAAGAGAACCTTGAGTGATTGATTCCAGAAGCTACCTTTCTGGCAGCTGTGCAGCACGTGTGCACCGTCATCCCCCACCCTGTTGCGCCATGACAGCGAGCACTCTTTCATCATGAAGTTTGCAGACTCTTGGCTCGGAGGCAATGATCCGGGAGTGCCGATTCTGTCACAACACCTCGGTCGACGTCCCTCATCCAACCTTGGGTTGAGCCTGTGTCGAGCCTGGATCCACCACACGACGCGATGTCGCTCAGCCAGTCGGGATGAAGCAGTAACTGAAGACCGAGGAAGATCCAGGTCGCCAACTAGTGGCAACTTGCTTTTCCTGGCGCGCTGCGGGGGTCCGAAAGTGTGCCTGTCCCCTTTGATTAACGCGAACGACCTTGCAATTGCCCTTGTGCACTCCAGTGAAGCTTCATCTCAGAGACCCCGGCGTGCATGGCCTGGCCACCGCAGAGGGGCCCAGCGTCACCGAAGCGCTGACGTAGCCGATGGTTGGGAGTGCTGTTTATGGTAGCGGTGAAGGGTTATGACGTCAACACCGCTGATCCTCGGTCTATGCCCTCCGTCATAACCCACTGCACCATCCAGGAGCACTTCTCTCACCTGCCGTCCCGCCTGACGGTGGTACGGGCTGCCATGCAGAGCCTTCCGCGGCCATCAGCACTAACGGCGCCGTTCACATTTAAAGACATGGAGCGGCATGGCATGTCGGTTCTTCCCATCTCTTGTCGCTACCTAGGCACAAACAAACCCCGACATCTGTCAACCACTTTCTTGATTTCTTGAATTCCTACGCCACCAGCAAACACAGAACATCATGGGACTTTTCTCGACGGACCCCGCTAAGAAGGAGGAGAAGGCCATGAAGCAGGGTGAGTTTCGCACTCCACAAGCCGCAGCTAACGCCCCAGAGGCCAAGCAGGACGAGAAGGCCATCAAACAGGCCATGAAGGACCTCGACCGCGCCCAGAAACAGGAGGAGAAGGCATCGCAGAACGAGCACTCCGCCGAGAAGGCCTACCAGAAGGTCGAGCAGAAGGAGCAGAAGTACGAGTCTGCCCTCAACGACGCCACGGCCAAGGCCCGCAAGGCTGAGGCTGAGGCCAACTCGCAGAAGGCCCAGGCCGAGCGCGCCCAGGCCGAGCACCAGCGCGCCGTCCAGCAGACTGCTGCCGCCCCGACGAGCTCAACACCCGCCACAACGAGCGCAACCTCGCTGGCGCCGGTGTTGGTGCCGGAGCTGGCGCTGGTGCCGGATACGCCGCCGGACACCACCACCACGGACAGGGTGAGGTCGACCCTCGCGGCACCACTGGCGCCTACGCCGGTGGCCAGCCCGGTGTCGGACAGGGCGTCGGCGGCCAGGGCTACGGCGGCCAGGGTGTCGGTGGACAGGGCTACGGCGGCCAGCCCGGCCTTGCCGGCCAGGGCGTCGCTGGACAGGGTGTCGCCGGCCAGGGCTACGGCGGCCAGCCCGGCGTCGCCGGAGGTGTTGCTGGAGCTGCTGTCGGCTCCGGCGTCGGCGGCCACCACCAGGGCATCAGCGGCCAGCAGTACGAGCGCGGTGTTGGTGCCGGCGGTGTCGGCACTGGCGGACAGTACAACCAGGTCGGCGCTGGCGGTGTCGGTCCCGGCTAC